GGCTTGTCGGGGCCCTCCGAGACATCATGGAGCCCATCTTACGCGGGAGAGCATCGGTCGCAAACATCCATGTATCCCAAGTGTTTTGGGTGTCTATGGGCCTTTGTGGGTTGGTGTGGGAACCGTCTTGTCAGGTCTCGAGGCTGCCTTGGAACTTTCCTGGGTCGGTCTTGGACCGTCGTACATGGGCGTGATTCAAGTGTGGCCCACTGTTGCCAGTGCGGCGTGCTTGGCCACGATGCAATGGAAGATCGCACTATGCAGACGGACACAAGACCATCCTGTGTGAACGTCACACTGTGGTTCCAACGGAAACAGCAATATACATTCATCACCTATTTGAACAGAGCACCGCACCGAGTTTGAACCTGGTCCGAACCTGATTCCAGAGGAACTCCGCGCCGCGAAACGCTCACTTGTCTATGAAGTCCCGCACGGAACGCTTATGTGTCCATTATTTCGAACCGATTTCTATTGTGTTTCGAACCGATTTTCGATCCTGATTCGAACTTGTTGTTGGTGTAAGATCCACGCGGTTCGCCGTTTTCGAACTGCCGCCTTGTTAAACCTTACAAGAACAAATTATTATCTTGCACAGGTTGTCTAGAGCTCCGACCACTTTATTTCGGCGTCGCACCACCCCCCCTGTACCCCCCGCCCCTCCACCCACCAACCCACATCAACCACCACCACAACCAGCGTGACACCGCCCCCCGTCAAGTTTTCCGCCCAGGCCACTCCATACACCAACCACCACCACCACCAGCGTGACACCGACCCCCGTCCAGTGCCCTCTCCACCCCGCCCCCCTCCGCCCCGACCTCTTCACTTCGGCGTCGCACCGCTCTCTCCGTCCCGCACCCCCGACCTTTTGCCCCCTCCCCAGCCGCCCAGTGCTCTCGGCACCCCGCCCCCCTCGACCCCGACCATTTTATTTCGGCGTCGCACCGCTCCCACCGCTTCGCCGCTCCCACCCCTCCACCCGCCCCCCCACACTGACGACCACCACCACCAGCGTGACCCCCTCCGCCCCGGCTATTTTATTTCGGCGTCGCACCGCCCCCCGTCCAGTGCCGCCCCGACCACTTCACTTCGGCGCCGCACCACCCCCCCCTTCCCGCCCCCACGACCCTTCCCCCCCCCCAGCCGCCCAGTGCCCTCTCAACCCCGCCCCCCTACGCCCCGACCCCGCCCCCCCTCCGCCGACTATTATTTCGGCGTCGCGCGCCCCCACCGCCCCTCCCCCTTCCCCAGCAGCCCAGTGGCCCCTCCACCCCGCCCCCCTCCGCCCCGACCTTTCAGCGTCGCACCGCCCCCTCCCGCACCCCCCCCGCCTCTGTCTCCCCCACACCCGCCCACACCCACCACCACCACCAGCACGACCCCCTCCGCTCCGACCACTCTATTTCGGCGTCGGGCCGCCCTCACTGTTGCCCAGCAGCCCGGTGCCCTCTCCACCCCGACCTCCTCTCCCCTCCGGCCCGTCCACTTCACTTCGTCGCAACCCCCCGTCCCGAAAGCGTGACCCCCTCAGCCCCGACCAATTTATTTCAGCGTCGCATCGCCGTCATCCCAGCGTTCCGCGGCAGCCCAGTGCCCTCTCCACCCCGCCCCCCTCCGCCCCGACTATTTCATTTCGGCGTCGCACCGCACACACCGCCCCCCTTCCTCCTCTGCCCACACTTCCCCCAGCGTGCCCCCCTGCCCCGATCGTTTTATTCTGGCGTCGCACCGTCGCCCCCCCCCCCCCGCCCCCCCCCCCGCTCGCCCCCCCCCCACACACACCCACCCACACCCACCACCACCACCGGCAGGACCCCCTGCTCCTCTGCCCACCCTTCCCCCCAGCGTGCCCACCTCTGCCCCGGCCGTTTTTTTTGGGCGTCGCACCGCCCCCATCGCCATGGGGGCCACGCGAACCGTTTGAAACGATGATCAGACAGATTGCAGGCCATCTCGGCTATAGGTTTCGAGCTATATCGGGCCATCTTGTCTGCCAGCTTATAACATCTTGAGCCATCTTGGAGGCCATCTCGAAGCATCGGACGCTCTCTTGGAGCGCCTTGCGCTATCTCAGGCGCTCTGGCCGTTCGGCGCCCCCGTCCCCGAACAAAACACAGGGAGAAGAGGGCGAGGGTCACTACCCCACCCCGAAGGGAGCAAGGGCCTTGAAAGAGGAGCGGGAACTGCTCACAGAGGGCTGGTGTTTTTTTCGCGACGACACCGGCGCCGCGCCGCGCCGCGCCGGCGCCGCGCCCCCATCCCCCTCTCCTCACTGACGCCGACACTTCGGCGATGCACTGTACACGCCGGTTGTTGAAAGTAGGTACTTTTGGATTTCCAGACCCCAATCTACTTCAAGCGTCTTCCTGCCTCAAGGATCGGCACGCCTTTGCTTTGTTTTGTCATTCCCTGGGGGGACCTGGACCCAATCAACTTAATCCGCCTTCCTACTTCATGTTTGACCTACTTCTTCCGACCGACGCGTAGTCGGTTGCGAGACCACCACAGGAGTGGGGGTTTTTAGGTCCGCCAGAAAGCTGGGACATCGCTCCGATCTGACAGAGAGATGCAAGTTGCACGCTCTTGTAACTAGCTTGTGATGCTTGAACCTCGGAGCTCATGATGTGGGAAGAAGAAGGAGGGGAAGGACGAGGGCAGAGGGAGGAGGAGCGGGAGGAAGAGGAGGCTTCGTGTCGTGCCGTCGTGCTAATGGTACGAGAAGAAGAATACTAAGAAGAAGAAGAAGAAGGAGGAGAAGGGCGAGGGCAGAGGAAGGAGGAGCGGGAGGAGGAAGACGAGACGTCGTGCCGCGCCGTCGTGGCCTACCCTGGCCACCGTGCCACGCCCTCGCTGGCCTCCCGGGTGTTGCCCGGGCCTCTGGCCTCCCAGGATTATTCGGGCGGCGGCCCCGGCCCCTGGTTTCCCCGGCCCCCCCCCCAGGGCCTTAGTTCTGTTGCATCTTCGGGGGACCTCGCCTGTCCCCAAAAACGGGTGTCTTTTGGGGGGCCCGACGCGTGCTCGATGCGGACTCGACGCGGATTTGGCGTGGATCCGACGCGGATTCGACACGGATTCGACACGAATCCGACGCGTCCGACATGGATTCGACACGAATTCGACGCGGACAGGGCCGCGACGGGACAGACAAGGTCCCCCGAGGATGCAACACAACCTTAGTTCGGTTATAGCCAGGACCCCGGGTAAGGGGGCCCGGTTAGTAGTAGGGCCCTGGAGCCCCTCAATTGGCCAGATTCACTAAACCAGATATGCCATAGCTGGTGTTTTTCGGGTGACGGCAGTTCGGGTTGGTGGAAATGGGACGGGGGGGCGCCCCCAGTACAAATCATTAAACCAGGTTCCACTAAACCCAGTTCTGCCAACGCCCGATTAGTGGGCCCCGGAAACGGCAGGGCCGTTTTTCTCACCATTTCCAAACAAGTGTCCCTTGGACATGGAAACGGCAAAAAAACGGCGACCCGAAACGGCAACAGAAACGGCTCCATGAGTGGAACCGGAGCGGGACCCCGCAAAAGAACGGCGACGGAACCGGTAACAAAAAAGGGCGTCGGAACCGGCAACAGAACGGCAGAACGGAGCCGGTATTAAAAACGGCCTTGTCGTTTCCAGGGCCCACTAAGCCCCGCAACGATAGGGGGGGATAGGCATAGGGGGGGGATACATCGACACACACAATCGCCCATTGATCGCCGATAGGGGCCCGATAGCGCCAACCTGCCCAGGAAGGTGCGGATTCACTATCAGGGGCCTATCGCCGATCTATCGGCGATGTATCGCCGATCCCAGGTCGATGCAACCCCCCCTATGCATATCCCCCCCCCTGTCGTGGCCCCTCACATGTGCAGCCAGCTTCCTGCAGATCGTGCCACAGCCAGGGCACGCGTGCCCCTTCGGGGGGTGCGAGCCCGAGGTTGCCCGCCCCTGGTTGGCACATCGGGCGAAGAGAATTATGCACATGCACCGATCCTGGCAAGGCCCATCTTTGACCCAGGATCGGTGCATATGCCCTCCTGGCCAAGGTAGGAGGGCGTATGCACCGATCCTGGGCTCAGGATGGGCCTGGCCAGAATCGGTGCATGTGCATAGTTCTCTTTCCTCTACCGCCCCTGGTTGGCACAGCTCCACTCCCGCCGCGCTGTGCCCGGCTCCGCACGCCCCACGGGGCACCTCCGGTCCACGCTGTGCCAGCGCGTCAAACATTTTGGGCGAGCTGTCACCACGGCTGCAGTAGGGGGCGGCGTCGCCCGACATGGGACACGCGTGAGGAGGGGCAGATCACACATTCCCGGCATGTCGAGGGCGTGGTAGCGGAGACACACAAGCCTCGGCTGTGTCCTCCCCGGTCCGTCCTTGCCTTCGCTTCCCCCCCCCTCCTCCCGTCTCTGCGTCGCCGAATCTGCGCATGATGTTCTTTGCCGCCGCGGCCTGGCACATCGCCGGAGAGTGCGGGGAACGACCTCCCTCTACGGGCCTGCTTCTCTTTCTTGTTCCTCTTTTTTCTTTTTCTGTTCATTCATAGTTTGGTTTTCCTTATTGCTTCTCCTCCCTTATCTGTTTTTGCCTCTGCTGGCTTCCCCCCTCCCCCCCCAAAGTATTACCCGCTTGTATGTCTGGGAGGCCTGTAGATAGACTCGAAGCTGCGCGCAGGCCGCACCAGGAGGCAATGTCCTCACATCTCTCAGTACAGCTCGGCCCTGGAGCACTTACACGCCTGTCGTTGAAAGGATGTGTTTCTGCATTCCCAGATCCCGGTCCATTTCAAGCGCCTTTCTACTTCATGACTCGATATGCTAATGCTGGCGTTTGTTACTCCTATGGCGGGCCCGACCCCAATCTACTTGATCCGCCTTCCTATTTCATGTTTCTCCCTACTTCTTCCGACTGCCGGGTAAGCAGCCGTGACACGGAGACCAGCTCCAGAAGGGTCCGTCCGTCCATCCAGCCTTCGCTGCCTCCTCCTAGTGTCTGCCTCGCGCGAGGCTGGGGCGGCAAGTCGAAGGACTACGGCGGCGGCGGATGGGGCGGCTCCGGCGGCGGCGGATACCAGAAGTCTTCTTGGAAGGACCAGCGGGTGGGCGGGGGGCGAGGAGGAGGAGAAGGAGGAAGAGGAGGAGGAGGAGGGAGAGGAGGAGGAAGAGGAGGAGGAGGAGGAGGGGGAGGAGGAGGAGGAGGAGGAAGAGGAGGAGGAGGAGGAGGATGAGGAGAAGGAGGAGGAGAATTGGGTTGTGTAGGGTGGAGAGACGGCATTCCACGGCCTGGAGGTGTCAGGTCGTCAAAGAGTTAAGCAAGGCAGGGAGCAAGAGGAACAGGGGGAGAAGGACGGGGGGGAGGGGCCTGGGAAGGAGACGGATCGCGCGAAACGGGCCGCCGCGGGCGTGGAGCCACAGCCGGCGACCAGAAGACAGACAGACAGTTAGACAGCCGGGGGCATACGGCGCAGCCGAGGCGGCCCCGTTCACACTTCTCCCTTGCTGCCACTGGCGGGGCCCGCGCCGGGATGTCTGGCGCCAGCTGTGCGGGGGGAGGCACCACTGGCACCCGGGACGCCCACCGCCAATCCATGGAAGGGCGTCGGGCCCCCCCCCCATCCTCCGGGACTTCTACCCTGGGAGTCAGGATCTCCTGGCAGCCGCGCGTTCCGCAGGCTGGGGGTGCCCGAGCCACCCCGCGTGCTCCGAGACAGCCCCAGCTCTACTGGGAAGCGAGGGCACGGAGGGGAGGGGGGGCGGGAGCGCGGGGAATGGGGAATGGGAGGCGGGGGAGCGAGCGAGCAGCCAGAGCGGCGTCCGAGTGCACGAACACCGGCCGCGTCAGAGGAGTGGGGGGAGGAGATGGAGGAGGAGGGGGAGGGGAGGAGGAGTTGGAGAAGGAAGAAGGAGGAGGAAGAGGAGGAGGAGGAGGAGGAGGAGAAGGAGGAGGAGGAAACAAGAGGAGGAGGAGGAGGAGGAGGAGGAGGAGGAGGAGGAGATGGAGTTCAAGGAGTCGGAGTTTAAGGAGTCGGAGTTTGAGGAGGCGGAGTCGGAGTATGAGGAGGAGGAGGAGGAGGAGGAGATGCAGGAGGAGGGGGAGGGGGAGGTGGAATTGGATGGAGTGAGGGGGAGCGGGTGCCAGTGGCCTGTCGGTTTTGGCTCGTTTCGGTGTCATTGTTCGTTTGGTCGGGTTTCGTTGGTGCCGTCCCGGTGTACGCCTACGCTGACCATCTTGACCGCCGTCAGGGGCTCAGGATTTTACCATTTTTGTTTCAGAGGGGGCTCGGTCCCTGAAGATTTGGCGGCTCTCACCACATTGACCTGCGAGCATGAATCCAGACATGTTCTTAAATTGATGAAGATCGCTGCAAGCCCACCTTAGGCGATGCTTAAGAAAACCTAAGTTGTCGGCCAGAGTCTCGATTATTCTTAAGTTTTCAATGTGAATCCCCAGATTTTGACAGAAGTTCTGGGTTTTATTCAATTTCTGAGACTCTGAATTTCTTAACCCATGATTTCTTAAGCATTTCGCAAGGTGTACATCCAAAGACCTCTATCTACACCTGCAGGAGTATTGCAAGATCCATCGTGAGCCAAGGGACCGAAGAAGTCGTTGAGCCCATCATGAATCGAGGCTCATGGCGCATGTTCTCGGGGTCCTTTGGCGCTCCTCGCGTCTCTACACACAATGATGAGTTTGTTTTCCACCACCACCACCATAAGTTGGAGGGGGAAGGAGGCGTAGGAGGAGGAGGAGGAGGAGGAGGAGGAGGAGGAGGAGGAGGAACCCCTCCCCCTCCTGGTGGTGGTGGTGGAAAACATGCCCATCACACAAGTTGGGTTCGAATGGCGCTCCGTACGGATTCTGTTGCAGAAGCTTCGACTGTACTTCGTTGGTGCGGGCAGGAATTCGCCGACGCTGCCCGCTCCTCACTTCGTGCTGCTCGTCTGCTCTTGCCCGTTTTGTTTGCGTTTCCACTGGCAGTGCGATTTGAATTCGCACCGACGGGCAAGGGTTCTGCCCCCCGCCCCTCTGCTGCTGATGCCCGCGGCCCCCTCCCCCCCCCCGCGCGAGGGGCTCCCCCCCCATGCGGTCGTGGCCCTGTGGGTGTCGCGTTGTGGTGGGTGCAGGCGCCCCCCCCCTCCCCCCATCATCGAGATCAGAAGAACTCCCAACCCGGATCACACGATGGACGCGTGGCTTCTCTTAGGGCCCCATCTTCGCATCAGGGGTGCTACTTCTGGGCGGTTTGGTCCGATACATCTGCGGAGAAGACCCCCATATCCCTAATGTTTTTGGCCATCCTAACTTAGGTCTCCTCCCAAAGTCTTAGGGGTACGTTGTTGCTGATCGCCCTGTGGGTGTGAGATGGTTCGTCTTCGTCGCCGTCGTCAACGACGTCATCATCGCCTTCTGTCGGTACCGGCGTCGGCGTCGGGCTCGGCGTCGTCGTCGGTGTCGGCGTTGTGTTCGTCGTCGCTGTCGTCGTCGTCGTCGTCGCCGCCGTCGTCGTCGTCGTCGTCGTCGTCGTCGTCGTCGTCGTCGTCTTCGTCGTCGCCCCCCCCGTTCTATCTGGTGGGGGGGAGGGCCCGGATCCTTAGAGCCGTTTCTTTTGGGGGGGGTCTGTGAACCGACCCCGCGAGACATCTGGTGACGATAACGACGACGACGCCAACGCCGACGCCGACGCCGACGCCGACGCCGACGGAAGACGACGTCGACGACGACGGTGACGACGACGACGACGACGACGACGACGACGACGACGACGACGACGAGGACGAGGACGACGACGACTTCCACCCTCCACCACTCCACTCCCACAGGGCCACGACAGCAGTGAAGGGGGCGATCCCATTCGCGAGGCCCTGCGATCTTGGTCGTCTTGGTCTCCGAAAGCTCTCGGCGAAAGCAGCGGGACGCCAACCCTCCACCCCTACACGCCCACAGGGCCACCACAACAGGCGGGGTGAGAGCGATCCCATCCGGGAGGCTTCTCGCGAGGCTCATGGGCGTACCCGTCCAGCGGGGGGGGGGCTCGATCCCATATTCACGAGGGGAAAAAATACACAGACACAATTAATCGTCGATTCCCAGGAAAGTGTGGAAAAAAATTGGAAGTGGGGGGGGAAGACAGAAACCCAGAAAATATATGAAAATACGGGGAATCCTTTTATTTGTGTGTATTGAAATGTGTGTCCCAGGGCCCCTTCACAGATGCATGGGGGGGGTGGGGGCAACCCTGGATCATAACTAGAGTGGGCATGCTTGGCTCTTTCATCGTCCCGCCCCCATGCTCCTCCAGGGTGGCGCCAGGGGGAACTGTCCCCTCCTGCGTCCCGGCCTCGGGGAAAGGTCGGGGCGCCCAGCTGCTCTGGGTCTGGGCCCAGGATGGCTGGCTGGCCTGCGGTGCTGGGAGCTCCCAGAGTCGGTGATGCGTGGGACGTGCAGTCGAGGCCGATTCGCAGGTCGACCCTGCCAGATCGAGGGTACCCTTGTGTCCTCTGCTTTGCGACCTATGCCCCGTGCACCCCTATGGCCCATAGCGCCTGAAATTAGCAGGTCGGCCCTGCCAAATCGAGGGTACCATTGTGTCCTGTGTGACCAAACCCATGCCCCGCACATTCTCATGGCAGTGTGGCCCTCGGAAGGGCCCGGTGTCCTCTTCGCGTGTCCTCTCCAGTCGGCCCCGGCTGCACGGCCAGGGCCTTTGGCTCAGAGTGTCCCTCCGCCGGGTCTGGCCCGCCCACCTCGCTTCGGCGCGACGCGCTCGCCGAGCCCTTGCCCCCCCAGGCATCCGGGCGCCGAGCTTTTTGTCCAAGCCGCCCGCCCCACACAGCGGAGCGGCACGCCACCACCTCGCAGGGCACAGCAGCGTGTCGCCAGGCCCACCGCTTGCGACGCGCTGAGCAGGCGTTCCGGACCGCGGGATGGCCCAGCATGCTTGCATCCCCTTCGCCTGCGCAGTCGGCGTCCGAGCCACGCGGCGCACCTGGGTGCACCGCACGCGACGTGCTTGTGCTTGCAGGCCTCCCATGCGGGGTCCGAGCAGGCGGGGTTGGAGAATCGCGCCGCATCGCCGATGCATCGGCGACGACGGCGATGCATCGGCGACGTCCTTGTGGGGGAGGTCTCTGGTACTGACGGGTCCATGTGGAGAAGCACGCGCGGCTTGTGGATCATCCGGCAAGACAGGAATCATGGCCGAGCCGCATGTTGCTCGGCCGTGCGGGGTATACAGCCCAGGCGCGGAAATGAGAGGACAACTCTGGGCTCAGGAAGGGGCACTGGTTTTGGGGGGCCGCTCTATAGATCTAGGTCGGAAAACCTGTTCGTGGCCAGGTTCGCCGTGGCCAGGAAAGCCCCTGCGCTGCTTATTCAGAGTTCCTGATGGTGGCGCGAGGGCTGCAGGTCGTGAGGGCGCAGTCGAGGGCCAGTCAGTTGCGATTGCGCCATCGGTGGGCAGATTCGTTGGCAGGGATCTGGCAGTGCACGCGGGCGTGCCGAAGGCAGCCGTGCGTCGCAGGTCGGCGTGCGAGCATCATGCCGTGCAGTACTTCAAGCAAGAATCTGGTGTTCCCCTCCCCGTCATCCTCAACCCCTCCTCAATTTTCAGGGCGCAGCAGTTACGTTGATTCGCGGTGTTGAAGTCCCAGGAATGGCGTTCTGGCACGATTCAGGATCGCCAAGAAGTACCAGTCAGGTTGACTCGTGGCGTTGACGTCCTGAGAATGGTTTTCCTGGCACCCTTCAAGATGTTCACACGGCTGCCCCTCAACGGGGCAAGTCCCTCTGCGGAAATGACCCCCTTGTCGGGGCCTATGTAGAGGGATCTTGGAGTGAGGGTGTATTTCAACATCGTTGATGGGTCTTGGGTTTGCCATGGTCGTCCTCCTCCCCAAAGTTAACTTCCTTGTCAGTGGACCCAAGTTGCGCGCGGGTTGGGGCCAAGCTAAATCCAGCCCAGCTGTCCGCAGCCAGGTTCGCTGGCGTGCAGCACGCGGTGGGCACCCTTCTCAGTGGAAGCAGGCATGTTGCGGGAGGAGGGCTCATATAAGGTGGATGGGGGAGAGCATGAGGAGGCGGAGTAGGAGGACGCAGCAGGACGAGCAGAGGGCCTGACATCTTTTTGTCTGCACTCCCCCCATTCCGAGCCTCCAGAGGCAGAGCCTTCGGCCGGGCGGCTGGGGCTTGGGTTGGGACTAGAGGTTCGGCGGTGGTTGTTCTCCTCCCCTCTTGTTTTCCCTCCTCTCGGCCTTCCCTCTTCTCCATGGGCGCCGCCTCATCGCGCCCCCTGTTGTCTGCTCATTTCTGCTCCGAGACTGGACTTGGAACTCAGCCTGCAGCACGCGGTGGGCACCCCTCCCAGTGGAAACATGCTTTTTCGCGGGAGGAGGCTCCTCCTCTTCCTTCTCCTCCTCCTCCTCCTCCTCCTCCTCCTCCTCCTTCTCGTCCTCGTCGTCCTCCTCCTCCTCCTCCTCCTCCTCCTCCTCCTCCTTCTCCTTCTCGGCAGGGGCCAACCCATGCCACCCGTTCAGAGGATCGCCATGCGCCACGGCGGTCTGGGGCTCTGCCGTCACGGGGATCGCCGGCGGCACTCTTAACGGACCGCGGGTGCACGCGCTCCGCTCGGAAGGCAGGTTGGCGGCCGGGACGTGCCTCGCCTTCAGGGTGAGGGCCATGCAGCGAGCGATCTACAGGGACCCGTTCGTGGTGAACGCGGTGGAGGTTGCCAAGGCATGGGCCATTGGAGTTCGAGACGGGCTCCTGCAGCAGGACATCCTGAGCGCGGTCCACGCGGATGCGCTGCAGCTGTCGTGCGTGCGGAGGCCATGGAATCGGTGCACTGACCCAGCCCAAACCGCGGTGCTCAGCTTTGCCCGTGCAGGCTGCCAGCTTGTCAAGCATGATCGCCTGCTCGATCATTGCCAGCGCGAGATCGACTTGATTTTTTGTCCGCCAGGAGCTGCATGCCAGGCTGTCCGTGCGGCTGTGGCCGCTGCCTCCCATGCCACACTTCTGAGAAGATTGTGGAGCCCTTGGGTGTCTGAGGTCCACTGGGGGCCTGTACTGGCCGTGTTGTCTGGTTCCCCAGAGCTGTGGACCTCGAGGCGTAAGAACGCGTTCAGATTTGTCAATTTCGGGGCGCACTGGAGCCAAGCAAGGTTGCATACGAATGGCAAGGCTGCGCGCCCGTTCTGCACGAGATGCGGGGCCCGAGGCACCTTGTGGCACACGTGCTTTGAATTCCCCGCAACGGAGTTTCTTCGCCGAGAACTTTGTCCGCCTGAGCTGCTTGAGGCAGCCAGAGCCGGTGAGCGTGGAGGTGAGCAGTGCGCTGAGATCTTCGCGCGAGGCCTGTTGCCCTCGCCTGTGCACGCTTTCCAGGAGTTTGATATCCCCGAGGAGGAGCAGATCCGATTCGTGGGGTGCGTGCCTGGGCTGCTGTTCGAAGGCGAGGTTATTGTGGACGGGCCTGCCTTTTTCACCCAGCCTGGCGGGTTTCGCCGTGCGCGATGGGCAGTGACCTGCATCAATGGTGACGGCACCTCCCGTTGTAGGGTGTACGGCGCTGTGCCCTTGGCCCGGTCCCTCACCCAGTCCTCCAGAGATGCGGAGGCCTTCGCGTTTTGTATGCTGGCCAGATTATCAGTCGATCCTGCCTCAGAGGGAGCGCTCACAGTTGCTTCTGTTTATGCAGGTGCGATCGTGTGCGCGAGGGGCATCTCCAAAGCCCTCAACCCCATGTGTCCCAATCGCCATGTTTGGGAGGGTTGGTGACAGACACATGGCAGCAGTGCGACAGTAAAAGAAGTCAAAGCTCACGCTCGAGCGTCCAACGATGCCTCCTTTTTACGACACCTTGTGCAGGTGTGGCAATGATTTGGCTGACCGCTGGGCAAAAAAGGAGCCCTGTTCTGGAAGACCCCACCCCAGAGGTTCCTCTTCACCGAAGCCTGCGAGGACATGGCTTGCGGGCTTGTGCTGTGACTTGGCCGTGTCCATGCCGGGATAGCAGACCACGAGGCCTAGGACACTGAGGGGGTGGTTGACACGACGTTATCTTAGACATTGTATTTGCCATCGGCGATCCTGAAGCCCTCTGGACCCGTGAGCTGCTAGGATGGAAGTCTGCGGCCCCCGCCCCACCACCAAAGGAGCCCGAGCCCGAGCCGTCAGAGGAGGTGGGGTTGGATCTGGGGGTCGTTCCTGGGGGCTGTTCCAAGGGCATTCGGTGGTGGAATGCGAGGTGGGAGGCCCTGACCGCGTGTGTTTCGTTTTCTGTAAGTCATGCGGGGCCTCTCTGGCCCAAACAAATTCAAAGAGTTTCTCCTGGCAAAGTCCTGGCTGGGACCTGTCTGGGACCTCGGCGCATTGGGCTCAAGACTCAAAGGTTCCGTTTGCGTCGGTTCCTCCACCCCTCTGCCCCTGCTTCCCCTCCCAGGCTGTTCGCGTTTAGAGGCCCTGAGGAGGAGGATCTTGCGTGGCTGCAAGGGGAGCTGATGGGGCCCAGCTTGGGGGCTGGGTCTCCGGCGGCTGGGTCCGTCGCGTCTGGGCCCGCTAGCGGCCCCCTGTGGGTCCCGTGGCCGACGGTACCAGGGGCCCCGCCAGCTTCCACGTGTACGGGGCTTCGGTCCCCGTCTTAAGCCTGGCCCGAAATGCGCGCCTGCATGGTTTTGTCGCGCCCGACACGGCGGTTGAATGGGCCAAAGAATGCAGGCGCGTTCAGCGCGAGGCCGAGGCCACGGAGTCGTGGCCAGTCGTAGACGACTGAGCCTACATGCCGCCGCAGTGTCGGTCGGCGGATTGTGTCCGCCCCACCCCATCCATTCCATTCCATTCCAGTCCATTCCATTGCATTGCATCCCATTGCATCGCATTCCATTCCATTGCGTTCCATTCCATTCCATTCCATTCCATTCCTCCCCCTCCTCCCCCTCCCTCCCTCCCTCCATTCCTCCCTCTCTCCCTCCCTCCCTCCCTCCCGCCTGGGGGGCAGGGGGGGGGGCGTGCCCCCCCCCCCGAGCCCGACGCGCCGTCTCTTCTCTATATGTGCCGCGACGCCTACTGGCTGCACCCTCCGCCCCCCCCCGCGGCTCGCTCGCGGGGAGGCCGCCGGGCGCCCCTTCCGTCGCCGCCGTGCGCGGGACGAGCAGCACCCACCGAGCGCGCGCCAGTAATCGCAAAGTGCCTGCTCAGAGGAGGAGGAGGAGGAGGAGGAGGAGGAGGAGGAGGAGGAGGAGGAGCGGAAGAAAAAAAAGAAGGAGGAGGAGGCGGAGGAGGAGGAGGAGGAGGAGCAGAAGAAGAAAAAATGAGGAGGAGGAGGGGGAGAAGGAGGAGAAGGAGGAGGAGAGGAGGAGGAGGAGGAGGAGGAGGAGGAGGAGGGCGTTCGAAAACCACATGAGCGACGCAAGAAAAAAGGGTCGTCTGCGCTGGCATTGGCGCCTAAGCTGCGCGCGTGAGGTCGTGTGAAGGCGCTTTCGGCTTCATTGTGGCGTGTCGCGTTTCGATACCGTGGATCGTGGATTCCCCGCGGCGGATCCAGGCCATTTGCACGTAGTTACTCTGCGACTCGTGGGACGCGATTGTCGAAGCACGCGCGCCGGTGCGACCGCGGTAGCCCCCGGGACAGGACAAGGACGACGGCAACGACTGGGGCGGCGGCAAGAGCAAGAAGGCCCCGCGTGGCTCTGACATCCTGGCGACCCAACTTTTTCGAGCCGGGCGTTTTCGCTCAACCTCGGGCCCCGGGGCCCTCACAGATCAATCCAACTTGAGAAATGACGCGCAAATATGGTCGGGCGGGGGGTAATGGAGGGTGGCCCAACTGGGGGGTGAAGAAAAGGGCCCCGAAGGGGCCCTTTAAGGGGTCCTTTTGGAGCCAGCTGGTGCCCAAAAGGGGCCCACATGTCCCCTTTTTTTATCCCCCATATGGGTCACCCCCATTACAACCCGCCCGAGATGGTGTCTGTGGGCCGGTCGAGATTTTTCGCGATGTGCAGTGTTTGCAGCGTCGGCATTCAGGGGGGGCCAGGGGCAGACCTCAGCGGGCCCTGGAGGCGGCAAGCGTTTTCTTGTAATTACCGGCTCTGTTTTGCAGCTTCTGTGGCCGTTTCCGTCGGGCGGGTGATAATAGTGGGTGGCCCAAATCGGGGGTGAAGCCGAGGGCCCTGAAGGGGTCCTTTCGAGCTTCTTTTGGGGCCAGCTGGTGCCCAAAGAGTCCTTAAAGGGCCCCTTTTTCGTGCCTTTTTGTTCACCCCCCCTTGGCCAACCCCCATTACCATTAGGTCGGACATGTCCTTCTACAGGCGAATTTTGGAAGAAATGGAAAATTGCCAAACAATTCAAAAATAGTCAAACATGGTTGAAAAATCGTCCCCAGATGATTTGTTATACTATTCTTGAATCTTCCTCCCGTAGAGGGACCTGCCCGACTGAAAATTACCACCCGCCCGGATGAAGAGCGGGTCTCCTGGGAAGGCCCCAGGATCCAAGACTTGCTGTTTGTTTCACTTGGGGCCCGTTTGTTCCAGCTGCAAGTCAGAGGAGCCAGAAGCCATGAGGATGGTACGTGCCAAGGCTTCCGGGTCTGCGTCTCCCGGGCCAATGGCAGCGTCTGACGTTGCTCCGGTACTGCATAGGGCGAGGGGCCTCCTCTTTCTCCTCCTCCTCCGCCTCCTCCTCCTCTGCCTCCTACTCCTCCTACTCCTCCTCCTCCTCCTCCTCCTCCTGCTCTGCCTCCTCCTGCTCCTCTTCCTCCCTGTGAGGCTGCCATTGTTTGCGGAGATGGTGCGACTCTGCGGCATCGCCTGGTACGGGGGATGCCGCTCTGTTCTCTGGGAGCGCATGCGCCAAACTTGTTGCGATTCGCAGTCCACCCTTGTTCCTCCTCGTCCTTCGGAAGGTGCTTTGAATCACAAGGAGGCCAACGGGACAGAAGGAATCGACGTCGGAGCGTCGAAACAGTGGCCAGCCTTGTTTCGGAAGGGACTCGGTACCTCTTTGGCTGTGGCCTGTTCCCAGCAGACAGCTGCAGTCGGAGGACCCCAGAGCATGCATCACGTCATATTGCAGGCCCTGAAATTCGGCTTGTGAAAAGTTCCAGTATCCCACACTTTACTGGAAGCGGGGGCACTTGTACACCGAATTCCGTGGCCGACCAACTGACGTAGTGTGTGTGTGTGTGTGTGCGTCAAGCCCATCCCATACAGCATCATTCGATACAAAAGAAAGAAGTACACCTGTCAATGCCAGGCCCCTTGTGGCGAGATTTTGGCTGCATCCTCATGGCCCACCCTTCGCAGTTTGTGCAACCATGGCGAGGGCCACTTGCTCATGCCCTAGAATAGTTCGTCACCGCCCGTCGCGGCCCGCCGACCAGGGTATATCGCGTAGCCTGTCTACTCGTGGAAGGGACGGGGCTGAGTAGACAAGATCTCGCCCGTCGCTGCGAGGCAGCGATTCGTCCATATCCACCGCCCGGGGATCCGAATTCCTGGGACCCCGGGTGGCTCTCGATAGGAAGATGTGGTGGCCCTTAGGGGGGCCCAGGACGGTTCATATCCACTGACTCACGAGGCCCCTGAAGATCGGTCCCCGGGCGGGGGGATATGCATACATCCCAGCCTCTGGGTCGCTGCCCGGATGCCACGCACATTTCGCATGCTGGACCGCTGGGGCGGCCAAGCGTTGCATCCCCACCGCCCTCGGCCGCAGGGCCCTCTTTCTGGCGTCTCGGCCGGCCCCTTTGTGCCCAGCCGGTGGCCTGGCAGCCCGCACGAGGAACCAGTAGGTCTTACGATAACGAGAGTCCTTGGCATCGCTCGGACGTGTGCTTTTTTCCTTCGGCGAGGACCATCGAGGAGCATCCTTGATGATTTGGTGAAAAAACCACGCACGAAACGGACAAAAAAGCACAGGGAATGGATGTCCGAGCGATGGCCAGAGTCGCAGGCACGTCTCTGAGGGGAGAACAACCCACCCCCATCCCCGCCAGGTCCTGTCTGTTTTTTGCTGTTTGGGGGCAACAGCCCTCCCCACCCCCAGGCCGGACCTCCTGGAGCACCGGGTCGGGAATGGGAGTCTTGGCGGGTGTGGGAGTGGGTTGTGCCACCCTCACTCTCCGAGTCAGCGTTGCGGAGGGTCGAGGATGTGCACGTTTCTGCTTCTGTCGGGACTCTACCGTGGCCACAGCTGGGCGCGGCTCGGGGAGCTGGCGTCGTAGTTCTGGGTGGAGGGGTCCGGGGGACATCGCGGTCTGGGCTGACGCGTCTATTCTTCTCCAGGGTTCGAAGAAGAAACACGCCATAGACATGAACTTGTGGCGGTCCGCGCGGATTTCTTAGACCCGCGTTGGGCCACCTCGGCGCCGCCTCCGGCGCCACCCCTGGCGCGCACCGTGCGCCAGGGAGGGGTTCCGCGCAGATCCAAGAAGTCCGCGCGGAGCGCCAAAAGTTTGTGTTTATTTTCTTCTTCTAAGGGTGGCCAGCGCCTCATGCCCCACGCGGCGCGCAGCGCGAATTGGAGTGACCCAGCAGACGCCTCAAGGCGCCCTCTCGTCTACTGCGGGTCGCCACCCTCGCACAACACCGATCATGGTCAGAGCAATTCTGGGCCCACGATTTGTTGATGCACATCTGTTCCGGGCCCGGAATGTGAGACAGGCTGGGATCGGTGTTAGGCCAGGGATCGGGGGTTGCTAGAGGTGCCCATGGCTCAAGGTGCCCCCAACTTTTCTCTCAATGCCGCCTTCTAGCCCCTGGTGCCCCCTGGGCCTCGTGCAGGGTGCTCTGGAGGCCGTGGGGGCTTGGGCCTCCTTGGAAATCCTGGGGGCACCTTGGTTCAGGGGGGTTTCTAGCACCACCCCACAGGATGGGCCTGGCTGGGATTGGTGTTGTGTCATATTTGGCTTTCTCCAGATCTACAGGTCACATCTGGTACATTCGACTAATCACTCGGCCTGGCAGTAGGTGCCCCACGGATATGTCTTCTCCCCCGATGGCCCTAGGGACCCACATGAGCCCTGCGTCACCCCAGGACGCTCAAATCTCAACGAAGAATGTGACCAAAGACTCCTTACAGCAAGATTTCAGATCGCATCTGTCCACTCCACGATAAAAAAAGTACAGGGGGCGAGATCTGCCAGGAGGAAAGCCTCTTCTTCACAGCACTGGCTTCGGCCATGCAGGCAGAAACTCGGAGCACGACTCGGAAAGGGTTTCCTGGGATCCCTTGACCACTCGCGGGCTCAACCCTCGTCGCTCCTGGTACACCCAGGCGCACCTGGGGGCTATGAGTATCTCGGCCTCCCAGATGGGATCCAAGTCGATGAGACCAGAGGATCGCGCCGCATCGCCGATGCATTGGCAATACGTCGTGATATGTCGCGATGCGAAGCCCGATGTTCTCCACCCAGACGTCGCCGATGCGTCGCCATCGTCGCCGATGCATTTCCGATGTGTCGCCGATGCGGTGCGATCTTCCGACCCCATCTGCTTGGACCCCATTTGAGGCGTTCAAAACTGGGCCTTGCTTTCGAGGATCGAAGGAGTTGGCATCTCTCGTAAGTAAAACGAGGCCGCCTCTGCCGGCGGAAGCCGGCTGAAGGGCGTTGGAAGACGGCGGACGTAACATATGCGTCCCCAAGAGATGAACCGTTTTTGGGTTCAGGCTTTCCGAAGTCGCCCAGTTTGGCAGGCCTCCAGTGACAGGCCCCTCGTGGGCACGGCTCCTCCTCCCTCCTCCTCCTCCTCCTCCTCCTCCTCCTCCTCCTCCTCCTCCTCCTCCTCCTCCTCCCCCTCCTCCTCCCCCTCCTCCTCCTCCTCCTCCTCCTCTCCTCCTCCTCCTCCTCTCCCTCCCTCCTCCTCCTCCTCCTCCTCCTCCTCCTCCTCCCCCCTTTTTCCCTTTCCCCTCCTCCCCCTCCTCCTCCTCCTCCTCCTCGTCCTCCTCCGCGTCGGCGCCGGGCGCAGGCGGACTGGGGCGACGCGCCCAGCTGGAGGGACGGCGCCAAGGACAAGTGGGGCGGCGGAGGTGCGCACCGCCGCGCCGCGCTGCCCCTCTCGGGGGGGGGGGGCTGGTGGCGCGGGTGGCGCCCGGGGGGTCGGCCAAGGCCGTGTTCAGGAGGGGAACAAAAAGCGACATAAACATAAAAGCTCGGAGGTCTGCGCGGATTTCTCGGATCGGCGCTGGACTCCCCTCTGTGGCGCGCGGAGCGCGCCGGAGGCGCCGTCGGGGGGTCCCAGCGCCGATCCGAGAAATCCGCGCGGACCTCCGAGTTTTTATGTTTATGACACTTTTTGTTTCCCTAGAAAAGCACTGACACGATTGATCGTCGATTCCTTTGTGGATGTGTGAGAATCTGGGAAGAGGGGGGGGGGGAGACGAAAAGCCAGAAAATGTGCGAACCAGTGGGGGCTCCTTGGATTTGTGTCTATGTATCTGTGTGCCCCTGTGCCCCTCAAGTGGCGCCCCGGGGGTCGGCCAAGGCTTCGTTCTAAGCTGGAGCAGTGGGTTTGGTGTTGGCCAAGCCGCGGCGAAGCGTCCAAGAACCTCTTGTGGTTTGCGCGACATGTTTTCTGGACACTGTTGGCCGAGACTGTCTTGTCTTAATGCACCAGGTTCATGTTTTAAGAGCATGGGTTTTGTTTTTCGAGCATGCTTGGGTTCGACGAACATTTCGCGGTAGGCCTATAGGGATGCCGGGACGGTCGGACGTTGCTCAAGTTGGAGCCGTCCGCAGCTCTATGGTGGCACAGCACTGGTTCCAGCCAGCAGGAAGGGCGGGCAGGTTCGAGGCTGTGGGTTCGGGAAGGTCTTTCACCTTTTTCCGCCTCCAGGGGCCGGTTTCCGGGCCCCGGGACAATGACACATTTTTCTGGTGTGGAAAATTGCACCAGATGGACCCCAGGATAGGTTTGGGTACAGATTTTGAGCCGTTTTGGCTTCATCCCCCTCGTGACTATCTTTCTGGGGTCCCAACCCGGCCAGACCTCCATCCGCCTCCAAGGGTAGCTGGTCTGGTACAGACGGGACGGCGGTGAGAGGTGCAATTGCTGGTTCAATATGTTGCTGCGTGCAACAGTGCGCAATTATTGTGGGTGGGGGACACGAAGTATTACAGGCAACATTTCATGTAGAACTATTTCAAATACTATTGCACTTCTCCCCGCGGATCCATCTGCGTCTGAACCACTACTCGGGCTGGAATATGTGTTGCGGAAGACCGCGGGCCACCATCGTGTCCGTCTCGTTCCTGTTGTGGTGCGTGGTGTGTTGTGGTTTGCTCCCTATGTTTCCAGGCGGGGTCAAAACGGAATCGCAAACCGTTGGTTTGGTAGATCTTTTGCGTTGGCAGCGACTTGTACGTCATTTGTGCCGAAGAGGGTGGAGACGGGGGGGAGGGGAATGGCTCCAATTTTGTAGCATTCATCAGAAGAGGTAATCCAGATCTTGTACCTGTCCTCGTGTTCGGGATCCTGAGGCTTGAATCTTGTGGATGTCTGGAGCGGGAGCTTCGTCTGCGAGTGATCTGCAGCAGCTGTCCAGCGGGACCCCCTCCCTATGGGCTTGCCAGCTAGTAGAGCTACAGCTCAGGGAGCTCTTCCAGATCCTGAAAGCAGGGCTCGCCGGTGGGCTCCTGAGGCCTCACTCGCTGGCACGGCACTGGGCTTGTGACCCGCGGTGCCCAGCCACGGGCACCGCCCCGGATCCCTGCCACGTGCGCAGCCTCGTGCCACCGACAGCCGCTGCGCCTCCCAGGTCCTGCACGGCGGCCGCGGCGCCCTGCGCGGTCCCGAGGAGGTCTCCACACGGCGGGGGTCACCGGATCTGGGAGGTCCCCTCGGCACCTCAGGAGGGCAAGCCCTGGCCGAGGTTTCTCTGCTCTCCCCTGCTCCGCCCCCCCCCCCCGTTTATCCACCCTCCTCTGCGGCCTTTCCTGTCCCAGAACCACTTGGCCAGAAGACCAGCACTTCTCTTCCTTACCACTTTCGCGTCCAGCACACTCGCACTCGGCCGGCCGCGATGGTTTCTCGCCAGCTGGGCAGCCTGCTCGTTGTGCTGGCCGTGCCTGGGCGGGCCCTTGTCCGCCTTCAAACGGAGGCGGAGGTCGAGGCCGACAGTGAGGCGATCGTCTCGATGTCGACGCTCTCGACAGAGGAATGGGAGCAGGCTCACGAGGCTGCCTACGAGCAGACGTTCACGATTGAGCTGAACATGACTGCTGCCAGCCAGGGCGTTGCCATCGGGGCAGAGCTGTGGAGCCGGTCCGACCACGATCCGCTGGTCGTGCTGAAGAAGAGCGATGTTGGCCTCGTGGAGAATTGGAGCTGCTGGGCTTGTTTTCCACCACAACCGCCATAGGTTGGAAGGGGGGCAGGTGGTGGAGGGTGAGTTGGAGGTGGTGGATGAGGAGGAGGAGGAGGAGGAGGAGGAGGAGGACCCCCTCCCCCCTTCTGATAGTGGTGGCGGTGGAAAACAAGCCCACCAGGAACAGGGTGCACCCAGACAAGGCTGTGCAGGTCGGCGATGAGATCTTCATGGTAGGCGATTTCAAATGGCAGCATCGCAACGAGATGTTCGTTCGCCACCTCAAGGAGCAGTTCGGAGTCCTGAAGGGGCAGAAGCCGGGAATGGCAAGCATCCTTGAGCTTGGCATCCGGCGTCCCAAGAAGGCGAAGAAGGAACAGACAGAGAGCAAGAAGCCAGAGGCCCCCACGGACGCGCAGCCTCCAAGTCGTGATGCTCACATCATCGAGGTCGAGTTCGATCCGACGTTGGCATACACGCTGGTGGACTCGAATTTCAATTCTCCCACAGCCAGCGACATGACTGTCAGTGCTATCTCCCCAGGCAGTCCACTTTACGCCTACAACGAGGCACATCCCACGAATCAAGTGCACGTCGGCGACTTCGTCACAGCAGTGAACGGCTCCCCATGGTCAGGCAACTCCATGCTGTTCCTCAAGATGCTCCATGACCTGGAACAAAGCCACGCGGCGGGAATTCCTGGGCAAAGCGAGCCTCAGCATATCCCGCTGATTCTGAGTCTGCACCATGTCCGGTAGGCCTTTACTTATCCCCTTCATGGAAGAACAAATGCATACTTACATACATACACATACACATATATATATATATATATACATTCAGAGTTCCGCGCGGAACCCTTTGGCTGGCGCCAGGCCCCCCGCCCCCCTGGTGGTGACTCCGCAGCCGCCGTTGCGCGCTCCGCGCGCCCGAGAGGGCGGTACACCGCCGATCCAAGAGATCCGCGCCGAATTTCGACTGGTTGGGTTGTTAGATGTTTCCCAAGCATTGCTTGCACTTGGGGCTTTTCTCCCGACCAGTGCTTGCTCTTAGGGATTCTTCATTCTTTTCTGACGAACTGGGCTGGTGTGCCAGTCTGGTGGCTATGTGGCCGCCGTCGCAGGTCATTCGACGCCTCGTCGCCGCCCGTCGGGCCAGTGCGCCGCTCTGACGGCTACGTAGCCGCCGTCGCCGCCTCGTCGCCGCCCGCCGTCCGGGCCCGTGAGCCGCTATGGCGGCTATGTTGCCGCCGTCGCCAGTCCGTCGCAGCCTCGTCGCCGCCCTAGATTGCACAGCATCGACTGCACCGCAACGGCTTCGATTGAAAAAGAAGTTCACCGAACACCGCGGGTATAAAAATTAATTCCCCCCTTCACCCTTGAGAGTTGATTATCCCCGACCAAAACAGGGTTGGTCGGGGGAGAGGGGCGGGGAGGCCGAACTTCATCATCGCTGGGGAAAGAACTTCAAATCCAAGTTGCGATCTTCTCATTCTGAGTACACATCCTTACGAACGTGAGGCAGGGCTATGGGATGCTCAAAATTTCAGGGTTTCCCAGTCACTAACGTGTGGCAGGGACATATGAGACGCTCACCAATTTAACTCTCCCATCTCACGAACATGTGGCAAGGCACTCGTATTTCCTCACCACTACTATTTGTGCTGCTGGTGCTACTACTACTACTACTACTACTACTACTACTACTGCTACTACTGTTACTACTACTACTACTACTACTACTACTACTACTACTACTACTACTACTACTACTACTACTGCTACTGCTACTACTACTACTACTACTACTGCTACTACTACTGATGCTACTTCTACTACTGTTCTGCTACTTCTACTACTACCACGATTAATACTACCACCACTGTCGCTAGTACTAGTACGGCTACTACTACTACTACTACTACTACTACCACTACTACTACTACTACTACTACTACGACTACGACTACTACTACTACCAATCCTACTCCTACCAGTTTTACTACTACCACTTTTACTACAACTACCATTAGTCCTACTATCGTAACGACTGCTTTTGTTTATTTATCCGGCTACGACTGCTTCTACTACGACTGCTACTAGTACCTTTCCGACTACTGCGACTGTGACTACCACTGATGCTGTTACTGCGACTACTCCTACGGCGACGACTACGACGACGACGACTACTAGTACGACTACTACTACTACTACTACTACTACTACTACTACTACAACTACGACTACTACTACTACTACTACTACTACACTACTACTACTACTACTACTATTGCTACTACTACTACTACTACTACTACTATTACTATTACTACTACTACTGCTACCACTACTACTACTACTACTACTACTACTACTACTACTACTGCTACTACTACTACTACTACTACTACTACAACTACTACTACTACTACTACTACTACTACTGTTACACTACTACTACTACTACTGCTACTACTACTGCCGCTACTTTTGCTACTCGTGCTACTACCACGACTACGACGACGACTACTACTACTACTACTACTACTGCTACTACTACTACTATTACTACTTCTTCTACTAGTACTACCACCAGCACGGCTACGACAACTGCTATTTCTTGTGCTACTGCGATTATTGCTACTACTACTACGACTACTACGGCTACTACCGAATACCACTATTACCGTTACTACCATTACTACGAGCACTACCACCACTACTAGTTTAACCACCGCTAGTAGTCCTTACTACTATTACTACGACTACAACCACCACTGCCTCTATTACCACTCTGACGATTTCGAGTACGACGCTGGCAACAACTACTACTACCACCACTACTGCACTATTTCTCTTACGACGACGACGGCGACCTACACTACACTCGAATACTACTAGCACGACGACCATTACTACCACCACTACTACTAAGACTACTACTGGTACTACTTCAACTATGCTACTACTACCGTTATTTCCACTACTACCAGTGCCGCTACTTCTATTACTATTATTATACCTACAGCTACTACCACTACTCGTATTTCTTATTGCTACCACCACCACTACCAGAACTACTATGTTTACGACTGCCACTACTACTACTACTACTACTACTACTACTACTACTACTACTACTACTACTACTACTACTACTACTACTACTACTACTACTACTACTACTACTACTACTACTACTACTACTACTACTACTACTACTACTACTACTACTACTACTACTACTACTACTACTGCTACTACTACTACTACTACTACTACTACTACTACTACTACTACTACTACTACTACTACTACCACTACTAGTCTTACCACTACTACTACTACTACTACTACTACTACTACTACTACTACTACTACTACGACTACTTGTACTACTACTACTACGACTACTGCTAGTACCTTTGTTCCCACCCGTATCACTGCGTTTAGAATTGCTGCTTCTACCACTGATACTACTACGATTACTTCTCCTGTGTCTGTTTTTTAGTATTAGAAGTATCACGACCAGTGCTGCTATCACAATTTCGTAAATTGTGTCTCATCCAAGTATTAATACTACCAGTACTATGTGCACTATTGCTACTACCACTATCTTTACTACTACGCCCACTGCTACTACGACTGCTACTACTACTACTACGACGACTACTGCTACTACTACTACTACTACGACTACTACTACTACTACTAATACTTCTACTACGACTACTACGACTACCACTGCGACGATGCATATTTGCATTATTACGACGGCTACTACTTCGGCGACAGAGAATATGTTACAACTACCATTACGTTTACGACTGCGACTACGAATACTATTACAATTGCCACTAGTACTGCTACTAGTACTACGACTGCTACGATTACTACGACTACTACTTTTCCTACAGCTAATTCTACTACGTTTACTGCCTGTACTACTTGCATTACTACGGCGACTACTACGACTACTCCTACGACTGCAACTAGCACGACGTTTGCGACTACTACGACTACTATTACTACTACTACAGGACTGCTTGGACTACTGCGACTACTGCGACCAGTACGATAACTACTACCACTACTTTACTACTACTAGTAGTAGTAGTACTACTTCTACTACTACTACGACTACGACGACTACTACTACTACTACTAGTACTACTACTACTACTACTATAGCTACTATTACTACTACTACTACTACTACTACTACTACTACAACTACTACTACTACTACTACTACTACTAACACTAACACTAACACTAACACTAACACTACTACTTCTACTACTTCCACTACTACCTCTTCTACTACTACTACGACTACTACGGTTACTATTGCTACTACTACTACTACTACTACTACTACTACTACTACTACTACTGCTACTGCTACTACTACTACTACTACTACTACTACTACTACTGCTACTGCTACTACTACTACTACTACTACTACTACGATTACTACTACTACTTCTATTTCCCCTGTCCCCCCCTGAAGTTTTATTTTGCCTGCGCGCTTGCTATCACCAGAAACAGGCCACCACGAGCCCCTACACATGTGATGCAGAAACCTGGTCAAAAACAATGGTTCTGTCCATATAGGAAACGCAATGTTCCGAATCAGAGTTGCTTTGGGAATCTGCTTCTGGAGTCTCTTTCCTCTCCCACCCTTCCTCCTCCCCTCCCGTTATCTCTCCTTTCCCTTCCCCTCTTTGAGATATGTGTTGTACGAGATTCTGACCACGACGACGACGACGACCTTCCCGTTCTTTGTCATATATCCCATGCGCGACCCGCCGGGGCAACTCGTCTATTATTCCCCCGGGACCCCGAGTTTGATTACCTCCTGAGCGTTATTCTCAAGGGCAGTTGGTTCGGATTGCCTCCCCCCTTGAATGATCCCCCCCTGTGATACAGTGCAGTCTACATATGGCCGAACCCCATCGTTCACTTTTGATCGTACATATACACATATGAGCTCATACAAGTCTAGCTGGGCCCCTCACTATGCCCCTCATCCCTTCCAAAGCAAGCTATGTTCGCGCAGTCGTGTTGCACGAGCCATCCGTGCTCAAAAATCCCTTACAACAGAAATTGGCCAACGTAGACACGCGCGCGTGGTGGTGCGCATGCCGAAATTATTGTTTGTTTGGCGCGCCCGTGGTCGCTCGCAAGTGGTCGCGCGCGCATGCCGAAATCCTTGAAAAAAGCTGTCGGTGTCGTAAAGGTTGCAAAGTCGAGAGCCACAGAAACATATGACAAACACATTGTTTCGCGCTCAGGTCGGAAAGTTTGCTCAGTCGAGGACAACGAATGGTTACAAAGTCAGAGTCACAAGGTTGTTTTCACAAAAAGCTTGCGCCCGCGCTCTTGCGACGTCTGTAGAAAACCCATGGATTTCAACATTTTCGAAACATGCTACCAAAAGGGCCTTTCGGTCGCGCATGTCGAAATCGTTCAAACGCCCTTGCGCGCGTGCTCTCGCAGGAGCCCATTGCCACAGAGTTGTCAAGGTGCGCACGCGCGTCTCGTCGCGCGCGCATGCCGCAATCCGTCAGCATGCCGCATTGCACGGGTTTCAAAACCGCATGTCCCGAACGTTCATAAACAACACATGGTTTTTTGGTTGCACCATCAGTTTTTCAAGACAATCCTGCGTTCGCGGCCTTGCGGGTTGTTGAGGAAACCAACGGGGTTCCAACATGTTGATCAAATCTTGCCAAGGGGCCTCTTCGCGCCGC